GGATTAAGAGAAATGCAAGACAATATGAAACATAATAATATCCATATAATAGGGATACCAGAAGGAGAAGAAGAAGAGCAAGGGATAGAAAACCTATTTGAAAAAGTAATGATGGAAAACTTCCCTAATTTGATGAGAGAAAAAAGTCACACAAATCCAGGAAACACAGACAGTCCCAATCAAGAGGAACCCAAAGAGGCCCACCTCAAGACACATCATAATTAAAATGGCAAAATTTCAAGACAAAGAGAGAATATTAAAGGTAGCAAGGGAAAAACAGGAAGTAACATACAAGGGAGCCCCAATAAGGCTAAGAGCTGACTTCTCAATGGAAACACTCCAAGCCAGAAGAGAAGGGCAAGAAATATTCCAAGTAATGAGAACCAGAGGTCTGCAATCAAGGCTACTTTACCCAGCAAGGCTCTCACTCAAGATAGAAGGTCAAATAAGAAGCTTCTCAGACAAAAGAAGTCTAAAAGAATACACCTCCAGTAAACCAGCTCTGCAAGAGATGCTAAAGGGACTGCTTTAAGGAAAGAAAGGAAGAGAGAGAGAGAGAGAGGAACACATGTACATAAAAGGCAATAAATAAGTACGTATCAATAATAACCTTAAATGTAAATGAATTAAATGCTCCAATCAAAAGACATAGAATAGCTGACTGGATAAGAAAACATTACCCACACATATGCTGCCTACAAGAGACCCACCTCAGGATAAAAGACCTGCACAGGCTGAAAGTGAAAGGCTGGAAACAAATTTTCCAAGCAAATGGACAGGAAAAAAAAGCTGGGGTAGCAATACTCATATCTGACAAAATAGACTTCCAAAAAAGGACCATAAAGAGAGACCCAGAAGGTCATTTCATAATACTCAAGGGAAGAATCCACCAAGAAGACATAAATATTGTAAATATATATGCACCCAACATAGGAGCACCCAAATACATAAAGAAAATCGTAAAGGACTTCAAGAAAGATATTGGCAGCAACACAATTATTGTGGGGGATTTTAACACCCCACTACCAAAAATGGACAGATCTTCCAAACAAAATATCAACAAAGATATTGTGGCATTGAACAATACCCTAGATGAAATGGGCTTTACTGATATATACACAACCCTCCCTCCCAAAGAAGGTAAATACACATTCTTTTCAAATGTACACGGAACATTTTCAAAGATAGACCACATGATAGGACACAAAACAAGCCTCAACAATTTCAAAAAAATTGAAATCATACCAAGCATTTTCTCGGATCACAAGGGACTGAAGCTAGAAACCAACCCCAAGGAAAAAAACCCAAAACACTCAAACTCATGGAGATTAAATAGCATGCTATTAAACAATGAATGGGTCAAGAATGATATTAGGGAAGAAATCAAAAGGTTTCTGGAAACAAATGAAAACGAACTCACAACAACCCAAAACTTATGGGACACAGCCAAGGCAGTCCTGAGAGGGAAGTTCATAGTGATACAGGCCCACCTAAAAAGTTAGAAACATTCCAAACAAACAACCTAACCCTACGTCTACAAGAACTCGAGGAACAACAACAAAGACAGCCCAGAGCAAGCAGAAGGAAGGAAATAACCAAGATCAGAGCAGAATTAAATGACATAGAGACTAAAAGCATAATTCTAAGGATCAATGAATCCAAGAGCTGGTTCTTTGAAAAGATAAACAAAATTGACAATCCTTTAAGCAGACTCATAAAGAAAAAAAGAGAGAGAGATGTAAATTAAAACCACAATGAGATACCACTTCACACCAGTCAGAATGGCCATCATAAACAAAGCAACAAACAAGAAGTGTTGGAGAGGTTGTGGAGAAAAGGGGACCCTCGTGCACTGTTGGTGAGACTGCAGACTGGTACAACCACTATGGAAAGCAGTATGGAACTTCCTCAGAAAACTCAAAATGGATCTGCCTTTTGACCCAGCAAATCCACTGCTGCGACTGTATCCTAAAACACTAAAACACCAATACAAAAGAACCTTTGTACCCCGATGTTCATAGCAGCACAATTTATAATAGCTAGGTGCTGGAAGCAACCTAGATGCCCATCAGCAAATGAATGGATCCAAAAACTATGGTACATTTACACAATGGAATTCTATGCAGCAGAAAGAAAGAAGGAGCTCCTACCCTTTGCAACATCATGGATGGAGCTAGAAAGCATTATGCTAAGCGAAACAACCAGGCAGTGAAAGACAAATACCACATGATATCACCTTTAACAGGAACCTAAACAACAAAACAAAGAAACAAGCAAAATATAACCAAAGACACTGAAATAGAGGACAGACTGACAGTGACCAGAGGGGAGAGAAGAGGGAATTTCAGGGGAGAATGGGGTTTACAGGAACAAATTTAAAGGACACATGGACAAAAACTAGGAGGAGGGTGGTAATGGGAGGGAAGTGGGGAGGGTTGGGTGGGTGGGCTGGATTGGGAGTAAAAGGGAGAAAACTGTACTTGAACAATGATTAAAATTTTTAAAAAAGAGTAAATGACTCAAAATGCCTGTACCTGTTTCTAAAACTTTATGAAATGAGAAGTTTGAGCTGTATGGATATGAGGCCTAGTCAATAACCCTATTACTCCACATTAACTAAAGGGCATTGACTATACCGCATTTTTTAAGGGAACTTGTCCATGAAAAGTAAGTCTAATGAGACAAGTTTGAAACCAGGAAGTCTGATTCACCTTAGAACAAAAACTGTCAATATGAATATACTCCAACCTCCTAAAATGTTTGTTCACATGATTGGCTTTGTGTGTGCTCGCGAGGCTAGCATCCTCGAAATTTCATAGTGCTCACAGCAATGTGTCTGGGTCCACAGTAATGGATTGTGACGGGTTAAGACTATCACTGAAATTTTCTTGTCTTCTGAGCCTTCCTTGCAGGTATGCATGGTCAAATCACTGTATATGGCCATGAAACCCTCTTTCCATAAGTATCTCCAGGGATTACTTTTCAGGAGTGTATGATTGGTACTGCTGACGTAGGCCAACTTGATTATAAACATCAGATAGACCAATGCATTTCCTGAACAATCAAGCCAAAATGTATTCATCTTTAAGATATTTCTCCCATAAAACATTTACTCTGGTTTCTCTCAATAAATAATAACCTATACATGCACTTGTGTATTTGATCATACCTTGGCCCTGTATTTAGAAAGGATTTTAAATGAAGCTAAAATCAATTGGCCAAGGAAGAACAATGTCTAGTAAACTCCATGTCTATTATAAGCCTAGAGAATTTGAGAATTCATATTTTCTGAGTGTATGAAATAAAACATTCATGTAAATTGACCGTTTAGACATAACTATGTTGTTGTGTTTTTTTTTAAAGCTGAAATCTAGGAATTCTCAGTTCTATGTGCCCAAATCACTTGTGGTGCTTTAAAAAGAAAAGTCCAAGTCCCTTCCATCCATTCCACACCTTCTGATTGAATAGGTCTGGAGGTGGCTCAAACATCTGAAATTTTTAAAGCCATTCAGGAGATTGTGATAGGCAGCCAAGGTTGAAACACTGAGCTTTATAAATCACAGAAGCTGTGACCTTTAAGATGCTTAGGTGAATAAGTCCATATGGCATGGTGGAAATAACCCTGTAACAGGTATAGCACTCAGCAGCTAGGTAACTTGGGACAGACCACTAAAACCTCTTTGAGCCTTAACATGTTATTCATAAAGAGAATAACATTTGCTGCAGATATAAACATGACATTTATAAGAACATATGTAGAATTTTAAGGAGTTTCAAAACTTCTAACACAACATTTAATGTTTTTTTAGATTTTTTTCTCTTCATGGAGTACCTTTTCCCTTCCTTGCATGCAGGAAAAATCTGCTTCTCCAACTGAGTGCCAAGTTTAAATCTCTGAGGCCTCACCCCACCCAACTACACAGGATTGCTATCTCTGTGTTTCTGCAGCACTTTCTACATTGCCCCAGCACAGTGACTCCTTAATTGACAAGCCCCTTGCTCCCACTGGCACAGTGTCATCTCCTACAGAATCGAGGGAACCTTGTGTTTTTCAGTATCCCCTGTGCCTAGCAATGTCAGCAGAGGTGAACCAAAATGGCTATCACCTTGTCATTGAAGGCCCTTACAGATACCAGTTACCTAGTTCCTTTTCAAAAAGCTGAATCTTTTTCCTTCCTTATACTTTAGTTGTGGAACTTCAACATGAAAAACAGATAAGGGGAGGGCTGCTGACACCTGCACTAGTAATCACTATCCTAGTGATAATTTATCAGTGCTTATATGTGGTAGGCACCTGGCAACACCAGCACAGAATTATTTCTCACCCACTTTCTCTCTCTTAAATACTATATATGTATTCCCTGTTGTACAACTATAGGTTCAGAGGACTTGAGCTATTTGCTCAAGCAGGTCACAGGTCAGGAGGTGGAGCCAAGACTCAAATGCAGATCTCACTCCAGATCCTAAAATCTTAACCACTATCCATCCGCACCTTCTTCCTTGTGATATATTCTGGTGAGTCCCTTCCCTGTGTGGACTAGGAGCACGCAGCCTCGAGTTCATAGGTCCTCCCGATTGACGGCGAATACAGTAAAGCTGTAATTGTGATCAGGCTGGAGGGTGGAGGCATCGTCCCAACAACCATCTCCTCTTGGCGATTCGGCCACCAACAAATATCCCAAAAGTAACTTTAAATTGCCCGCGAGTATTCGGCAGCCAGGTTCAGCCCATCATCTGACAGCACAAGGATCTGGCCAGAGGACGCCTGGAAACCTCTGGGAGCGGGAGGAACGGGCCCGCCTTCCGTCGCCGGCCTTTTCTCCTGGAACAGGTCGTCGTACACCGAGTTCCTCGCGTTTCCCGCAAGAACCCCAGGCCTCCGACCTCCAGTCCAATATTCTCACGCCGGTCCCACTCCGAACACCTTCCAACTACAGTTCTTCACTTCCGCGTCCCGCCCGCCGGAAGTGACGAGGAGGAAGCGTCTTTCTCGACGGGGGCGGGGAAGGAAGATGGCGGCGCCCAGCAGCCGGTGAGGTGAGAGGACACGGGGATCCTAGGGAGCGGCCAGACTCGTGCGTTATGGCCACATCCCCGCACACTCTCTCCTCACGCCTCCTGACAGGTATTGCACCGCTTTCGGGCACGACTTTGGGAAAGTCCTTTTCTTTTTGCCACATTCTACACTATGGTTCCTGCTGGCTGCAACCTTGGGAGCCCTTGGCGAGGTCGCCTGGGCATCGGTGGCGGGGATGTGACCTTTGGAGTAGTCTGAAGTGAACAGACCACGAAACTAGGGTCTAAGCTTGCAGTGTGGTTCTGGTGGTGCACACCGCTTCTGTCCGGCTCCCCTAACGTGGGGTCTGTGTCTGGTGCTTCTTGTGGTTTTCATGGAGTGGAGACAGGAGAGAGAGAGTGAGAGAACCTTAGCTCCGCCAGCTTTTTAGCTTAGTAGAGCATCAGTTCCTAGCCACTGGCATGTGGGGACAGCGGAAGCGCTGTGCCCTCACTCAGAAGCCTTCATCCAATGTAATAGGGTCATGACGACAGGTCATGATGATAACCATTACATATAACGGGCCGTAGCTTCAGACTTTTAGTATTGTACCCTTCAGTGTGGCCCCTCTTGTAACCCTTTAAAACCTTGTGTTCCCCCTTGAAAAACGTGTAACAACTTTGTGTTAAAGGTGGAGTGCGCTTCCTTGGCCCTTGGCGGGGACTCAGCTCAAATGACCCCTCTTTACTGCTTCTTCCCCTGCCTGCCCTGTCTAAAGTGAAGCTTCTCACATCACCCTATTTCTCTCATGATGGTTAGCACAGACAGTAACTGTTTATTTATATACCGGTTCATCATAGGTTTCACCCAACTGGAACATAAACATTGTGAATGTAGGGACAGTTCTCTAGGTCGCCTCTGCAGCCCCAGTGCCCAAAACAGTACCTAGCATACATTGCTAACTCCTAGTAATTCTTCGTGAATGAATAAACTTTCTCCTCATGTACTTATTAAAGAAGAGGTTGAGAATTCTTTTGCCCCCAGTAGTTCAGGATGATACCTAATGTGAGGAATGGCCCATATGGCCCATATGGCCCAGTAGTTCTGGCCCATATTGGGGATGTATAGGAGAATCCAGGGACTCCTTTTTGGTCAAATCCCAGAACCTTTTCCAGGCCCCACATATCACAAGTTCTCTGCAGTACCTGGCAGTATTGAGTGCTGTGAATATATGAGATTTCTTTTTTCTTTTTTCCTCATGGCATTGTTATTTTATGGGTCTTTTCTGGTCTATGTGACCTCAGGTCAAATCATTTGACATTTCTGGGATTAGATTTATTCATATATAAAATGAGGCAATTGAATTGAATGATTTCAGAGGTCCCTTCTGGTTTAAAAAGGGGAAAGAGGGTGGGAAATGGGAGGGAGTATAGCTGAAACAAGATTAGCCTTGATTTGGTAGTTGTTGAAGCTGAGGGTAAATTAATGGAGCTCATTGTATTCTTTTGCTTTTGTCTGTGACTGAAGTTTGCCATGATGAAATTTTATTTTAGTTCTGTGATTCTTTTAGAATTACTAGCTACCTTCTCCTGTCTCTGACTGTGAGTGTTCTATGATCCTGACCCTACACACTCATTCTCAGAGAGCTCAGCCTTTCTTAGTGCTTGAATTTATCACCTCTGTGTGGAGGGCTTTCCAATTCGTGTTCCTCAGACTAGCTGTGTTTCAACCTTCATGTTCTGAACATCCTGCTGTCTGCAAGACAGTGCCAGTTGGCTGCCCAGAATTCCCCAGTTCCAGTAAGTAGGCAGCATCTACATGGTTTGCTCCTGGATCAGCCTTTTCAGTGCTAGAAAGAAAGAGTCAATAGACAGCTTGGCTTCTTAAACTTAATCGCCAAAAAATCAGCTAGTAAGTCATCTGTCTGACTTATTTTGCTCCACTTGGAAGGTTCATACCAGAGCTTGATGTGGAAGCTGCATGGTGAGAACAGAGAGGTAATCTGGGGCTGTATCCGGTATCTAGCGGTCATGTCTGAGTTTGCTTCTAAAAAGTTCAAGTATTTGATAGCCTCTAAAAGAAAATTCAGGGTCTTCACCTCATTTGAAAGCCCTTACAGTCATGACTCATTGTTGATGATGACTAATGGATGTGGTCATGTGTTTCCAGATTTTTAATGTAGCTATTGTTAATCCTGTGTAGCTTCGAACCTAAATTGGTTTACATAGGGCAGAAATGACTTTGAATTTCTAGGCACCAATTGATACAAATGTAACATGTTTTGACAAAATGAAAAGTGTTTTCATCATTTAAAAGTGCAGTTTCCTAGCTGTTTTTTTTTCTCTTTTTTACAACCATTCTGTAAAATCTCAATTTCACCCACTTAGTCATGAGAGATATTTTTCCAGGTGGCTCTTTTCCTTCCCGCAGCATGCATCTTTCACTGGACCTGAAGAACTGAAAACTGGTTTTAAAACTAAGGCCCAGAACTACAAAACCGTGATGTCTTCCAGACAAAATTATTTAATATTGAAATCCTATTATCTTAGAGAACATTGTTAGGCCAAAAAGAGAAAATATACATCATCAAAATTATAGATAAAACTGAAATATCAGAGGATTGATTTCCAGAAATTTCAAAAAGTACTGCTGTTCCTTCATGTAGACATATACACATAAACACACATTCACATATATGGAAAATAAGCATTTCGTAATTAATTGAGCTTTGAGAATCTGATTTCAGATTTATCTCCAGTCCAAGATAATTGATTGCCATAGGGGCAGTGATGGTTCTTCCCACTGTTCAAGTAAGCTATGGAGGTAGTCCAGTTATCAAATATTATTTCATTGTTATTCGGAAAGCAGTCTACTGTCTGTTGTGGCAAAAGTGAGTAAGGCCCTGCCACCAAGAAACTAAAAAATGTAATGGAAACAGTTGGCATTAAGAAGTGCCATGAAAAAAGTATGAAGTAATGAGGTAGTTGAAAGAAACTTTGGAAGTTTGATAGGCGAGGCAAGAAGCTGCGAGCAGGGGGACAAGTGAAGTATGTGATGACAAGACAGCCTTGTTGCAGTGATTCCTATGTACCTGTTTGGGTGGGTAACGCATGTATTTTGGGCTTCAGGAAGAAAACCCTTGACTTTATGGAACTTAAGTTAGGGAAGGGAATTACTGAAGTTGGGATGACTGGCTTGAATCCTACGATTACTACCATAGTCCAAATATAAGATAATAAGAGTCTGGATAATAAGAATGGAAGGAAGTAGACAAATGTGACCTATCTTTCATAGTTGACTGTACTTAATGGTTATTCAACGATGAAGGAAGAATTCAAGATGCTTCTGAAGGGATGGTTTTATCTGCAATATGGGTGAGAATAAAGTGTTCTTAGAAACATACTGCAACCCATGCAGGTGGAGATACTGAGAGAGATGTTGGAAATAGGCAGAATGACTCCAGAAATGTGTTGAAGATTAAAATTACCCTGTAATTGCATTTGCTCAGGGTTCAGACAGTAGGCACACAACTACAGGAGTAGACAGCATAGGAAAGTGAGAAGTGATGAGTGGTGACAGCGGAAAACTGGGAACCATTAGTGTCACAGAAGCCCTGGGAGGAGAGACGGGAGTCTGCACCGTTACACTGTCGAAGGCTTGGCTAGGATGGGACCTTATATAAAAGCTTGGGTTTGTAGATATTTGAGAGAAGGTTTAGAACAATGATTAAAAGCCAAATTCCTATCCAGCAAAAACCGTTTTAAATGAGATTGATGAACTCATATTTTATCGAGAACTCTTTTCATACCCCTTTAGTTGGCTTACCTGACATAGCCAAAATATTAATCCGAAAATTATCTTTCAGTTTGCAGTTATTTATTGAGAAAAATTATGCTTCTCATTTTATACTTTTTAGAAAGTGATTGAACTGATTGTTTTATATTTTCTTCTTAAAAATATCTACAGTGTGGTCATTTTGGCATTTAATACAACAAAAGCATATGATACTGAAGTAGAAGATTTCTCCAGCCCCGTGAAAGAATTTTGCTGACTTAATCAGGGAGTAAGGTTGATATTTGCTTGGATTACAAACCTGAATTAGATCATTTCAGATTTACCACCCATCGCGGATGTGTTGTTTACTGTGGTGTGGGCATTGGTCCTGGATAGGTGCAATCTTCATTTGATGAGAAGCATCCGTCACGTTAACATTTTTTCCCCTGTTCTGTCTTTCTTGTAGGTTGGGTAGGAGGATGTGTCTGGTATCTAGAAAGAAGAGCAGTGGAGGAATCCCCTCACAAGTTTATGCATCTTTTCAGGAATGTCAATAAGCAGTGGATCACATTTCAGCACTTCACCTTCCTTAAACGCATGGTATGTTCAGAAGCTGCTGTCTGCCTTTACTTTCTCTGTATGTGGGGATTTCAGAAATTTGTATTACAAGAAGAGTAATAAGTGTTGTTTGAAAGGGACTTTCATTTAGTGTTCTCTTCAGTTTATTCAGAATTTTAATCACTTGTTTTGCTTATTTTAAACTAAAACCAGAATAATTCTGGTGTTTGAACTTAGAAGTATAATCTCGAGCTTACTGATAAAATGTGGAGAAAGATTGGAAATTTCTAGCATATTTTAACTAGGCTAAAATTAGGAAAAGCTTACTGTCATAATACATCTTTTTAAATTTTTAAAATTCTGTGAAGACATCAGTAATACAGGAATAATTGCTTTAACTCTGTGACCTTCCTGTTTTCTTAACGTTAGCTGTGCATTCAAAAAGTCTTTTAAACACACACACATCTGACTGAAACAAATTGAGTTTTTAGTGATTTTCTAGGCATTTTGTAGTGGGCGTTGGAAATATATCTCAGTTCTCTTGTGCACCTACCTGTGTCTAGGTCAGCCCCATGATCTGTGGGCAGCAAAGTGATTTACTTTAAATTACCAGTGAGGGCATTTGACATTTTCTGAAGTAGAAAAGCATCATAAAATGGAGAAATGTTAGCTAAAAACTCTTTGACTACAGTTTTGCTATCATTTTCTGCAAGCATGAAATAATAGCAGATTCATTAATCTAAAGTCATAGGTGACATTCTTCTCATCTTTTTTTTTAACTTAAAATGCCCACTTTAACTTAAAACTTAAAGTCTTATAAAACTTACTGTTTTGGTAAGAGATTTAAATTTCCATTAATGTTAAGACATTTTAAGTTGGGGATTCAATGATAATGGGTATTTAAAAGAGAAACTCAAATATGTATTATGCCTTTTTTTGTGTAAACAGACCTCAGGATTCATTCCATGAGGCTGTAATTCCTAAGACCAGCATTTGTAATGGGAAAGTATCTTAACTAGTTGTCAGGAGAGATGGCTCTGAGTCCCAGGGCCACCAGTAACTGACTGGCTGTGGACTGTTGGCCCTGTCCGTTTATTTCTTAGCTTTGATTTCTTCATCTGTAAATTAAAAGAGAGATACTAATAATTCTCCATTTTCTTTAACAATTGTTACAAAGCTTGAATGAGGTATATATTACAAAACCACAACAATATACATAATATAAAATGAGGCAGTGCCTCACAAATGCTAACAGTAATTTTTGCATGTAAGTGACTGAGACCGTCTAACCCTAAAGCCATGTTCCTTCCTCGTGTGCACTGCGATATTGTCACTGGGACCTGGGTTGTGCTCTGCTTCTGAGCCCTCCCTGCACCGTCTGCCTAGGAACGTGGACAGGTTATTTGGACTCTTGATTCTGGAAAACTTTTTCATTGTATTTGCCTTTTAACCTATCAGTTTCTGGTACTATGTTAGGGGAAATTCTGGAGGAGATGAATAAGAAGTAAATTTCTCTTTTTTTTTCAAGGAACTTAAATTCCTAGGATTTTCTAAACCACAGAACTTGAAAACTTTGCTGACACATTGATTATATTCTCCTTGTCTCTCAGTCTAGTCGTTTCCACATAACAAGTACTCTCATATTGGTTCATGTACCATGTATTTATAAAGTTATAGGAAAATCTGTTAAGTACTGTAAAAGTCAGACTGATGGAAGGTGTAACTGAATAGCCATTTTGGGCTTTGTATAGTAACATGCCCTTTTAAATTTAGTATGTCACACAGCTGAACAGAAGCCTCAGCCAGCAAGTAAAGCCGAAGTCAGAACCAGCGGCATTGTCTTTCCTTGAAAAAGCGTCTTCGAGTCAAACCAAAGCAGAAATATATGAGATGAAACCTCTTTCACCGTCTAGACTATCTTTGTCCAGAAAGCCACATGAAAAAGAATTGCTAACATTAGAATCTGCCTCAGTAATTGAAGGCTCAGTAGATGTGGGGAGAGAAACTACAGATGAAAAGCAGTGGAAGGAGATGAAGCTGCATTTGGATGAGTTGCCAGGAATTTTGGCTCGACTGTCCAAAATCAAACTCACAGGTACTTTGTTTTCCTTCTATAGTTAGAGTCTTACCTGAAACTTTATTTTTAGTTCAACAAAAAGCTAATTTTATTCATTTCCCCTAAAGGAATATTTTGAAACGGCAGATCCTCTCTTGGTATATTTTCTCTCTTCAATTTAATTGGGATATGAAATCAAATTTTCTGAATTCTGTTTACTCAGCATTGTAAATAGTATTGTCCTAAACATATTGTACTAAAAATACTCTGTGCAATTAAAGTAGAATACTTCTGCTTCTTTCTTGTCTTTGTGTTTTTACACCTGCTGTCCTTCAAAGGTGCCATGAGCTGATGAGTTCTGTCTGTCTGAGGTCTGAAAACAGGATGGGCTGCACTGCTGTACGTGGTGTGCAGTGACCCCACAGTGGCCACTGGGACCCCTGGCTCCCGGCTGTTTTGCTTCTAATAGGATCTCTGGGATTATCCCAGGTTTGGAGGGATTTCTAATGCTTCTCCGAAAGGAGATTTAGAGTCAGATTTTTTTGCCTAATTGTAGCAAATCACAGCAGATTTTGTTGCGTGCGTTTAGGTATTTACCCATAATTATGTCACTGATTGTTACAGCATCCTGTGAGTCAGGCAAACCTTTGTTATTATCATCCCATCTCATAGTTCAACTTAGAAATAGCTGATTCTGGGCTAATTGTTTGGATCTCACATGTTCTGGGTCATGCTGCAACTGAGGACCTGGTTTTTCCTTTTCTTCCTAGGTGAGAATAAGAAGAAATGGGTAAATGACAAAGGTATAGCAGGCACTCTTTGAGGACAGAAAGTGGTAAATACTATTATTGAGTCAAAAGCAGCAAGTGAACAGATGAGACAGAGAGGCTTTTTAGAGTAAGGAAGATCAAAGAAAGAGTGATTTATGTTTATTTGTTTTTCAAGACAATTGAGCCAGAAATCCAAAGTAAAAGAAGTTAAACCAGACACAACTTCTTTCCTCAGTGACCAAGTTCACTTGCAGGAAATCTTTTCTGGAGGGATGACACAGGGACAGCAGGAGTTTGACAAAGAATCATAGTAGAACTTACATGGTGCAACTCTGTAACAGTGAGACTAACTTCAGGTGATATTTTTGAAGTTATATCTTACTGCTTACTGGTAGCTGAGCAAGGAATCATCACATTTCCAAAGAAGTTACCTTGTTGTGAGCTACATGTTGACATATTAAGAATGAGTGTAGATAGATATGGTTTTAGGATGTCAGCTAAAACAGGGCCTCTCAGTCTTTGGGTATGAGCAGTGACCTCTGTTGTCAGCAGCAGTTTCTTTCTCCACATGCACCATCATCGAACATATCCCCTTGTATCTCCTACTCACTCTGAAAATTAGTTCTCTCTTAATGTCCCATTTCTGTCAGCAATCCTGGCATTCTTTGCTTCTCCTGGAGGAGAATTCTGAGAATCATTCTTTGTTTTCCATTCCCCCCTTCAGTCTAATCTTGTATAATGCCTGTGTGATTTCTCATCCCCATTCCTGAGGCTACCATCCTAGCTTGGTTCCCAACCATGTGAGGTCTTCGGTTATTGGAGCAGCTCCTAACTGTTCTCTCTGTCTGCCTTTTCCTTCCACTGCAGTATGTGCTGCCTAGGGCTGCCAGACTTGTTTTGCTAAAACATTGCTTTCATGTATTCCTAACCTACTCAAGAGTCCACAGTTCCTCTGTATTGCTTCCTGCCTCAACTCTACCTAGTTTTAAAGCAACATTGTAAAGACCAGGGGTGTCCAACCTTTTGGTGTGCAACATGTAATCACAAAAAAAATCCATAATGTTTTATGTAAATTTACCATTTTGTGTTGGGCCTCATCCATAGCCATCCCAGGCTGCATGCAGCCCGTGGGCCACAGGCTGGACATTCCTGTGTGGAAATGATTAGACTCTTCCACCGAAACATGTTTTTTTCCCCTTCCCTGTTGTCTTCTACTCCAACATACTCTTTTCTCCATGGGAGACCAGTCAGATCCCTTCATGGCTTCTCCACTCAACATCCTTTGGCCTCCTCTTGGCTCAAGTCTCCCTTCTCAAAACTCAGAATATGGCTTCAAGGTCAGGCAGACTGAGGTCATATCCAGTCTATGACATTTACTAGCCAGTGAGACCTTAGGCAGCTCCTTGACCTTCTTGAGATAATTCCCTCATCTATAAAGTAAAAATAGTAATAAAGCATTTAAGAATTCAATCATATAATGCATTCAAAGTACCCAGTAGCATGACTGGCACATGGGAGACCTTCAAAGGTTAGTTTTCAAATAATGGCAGGCAAACATTTTCCTATTTAATGTATTTTATATTTCCCTAAGAATTGGAGGGGAGAAATCATGCCATATACTTGCAGAGTACTTCTGGCTATCTGGGTACAGTGCTTCTCATGGTAGGGACTTGCTTTTAGAGATAACTGATGGGCTGAAATCCTCCAGAGGAGGGCACACCCACAGGGAAGAGGGGACGTGGAAACCCGGTCACTTGGGGAATGAGATTGTTGTGCGTAGAAAAGAGAAGGAAGGATGGGGAAAGATAGTGAGGGAAAGGAGAATAAAGGCATAATAGCCATCTTCAAACACCGGTAGCTCCATTGATTTAAAGGAACAAGGCTGCTAATTCACAGTCCAGAAGGCAGAACTAGGAGAACATGCTAACAGGGCAGCAGAGTCTCTCAGTATGAAGGAGAGTTGCTGGGAGAACTATAGCACATCGCCTTACAAGGCAATGCTCATTGTCATTGAACTGTCCAAGTGGAAACAGATCATCTTCGAGGGAAGTTGAAGAAGGGATTCCTTACATTATGTAGTGAGTGGGTGTCGCAGACACTGGCCAGCAGTGTCTGCTGCGCTGTGGATGGATGACACTCGAGATACATTCATACAGACTGTCAAGTCCTGTGGAGGAAAAGGGATGGCACAGCTACCCTCTCAAGGGGAGGGTGCCTCGGAGTGGCCTGGCCACTTTCTGTAGGGGAGAGCGCCCTGTGCCCCTGCTGGAACAGGCTTTTATTAGGTTTTTTGGGGTTGGAATGCAGATACAGTTTATTAATCCTTGTCTGGCAGTTAAGATCAAATTATAGATAATGTTCAAAGAACTACTAGGGCTCACACTAAGTCAGGGTCTATCACCGAAAAAGCAACAAAACTTAAGGGACTAAACTCATTTCCTGCCTGGGCCTTTAAGAGCATTCTCAGCAAAGCAGGTTTCACAGGAGTTTACATATCCTTTCTCAGGGAGCCCAAGGTTTCCAGCACAGGGCTGCACTGCCCTTTGTCATTGTTTCAGGCTTAAGTCAGGCAGGAGAGGCAAGGCAGCCCAGAGATTAGGAGACCTCTTGCAGGCAGAATGAGGACTCAGGCTTTGTCAAAGCCAAGGGGCGAGGGTCGATCACCCCCTTTCTCCATAGCCCCCCAAGTCTTTCCCTGGGGCCTCCACGTGGTTATGCCCGACTTGAGTGGTTCCCCCCTTGGGGAATCTTACCAGTCATTGGCTAACTGATCAAGCACTGGGGGCCAGGCAAGGTGTAGAAGCAGTGCTCCTGCCAGGGAGATAAGCTTTGTCTCCTTAGTGGCTTCTGGTCTGGAGGTCTCTCACTCAGCCTTAGCCATGGGGGGTTACAGCTCCTGAAACCAGGCAGGGTAATTCCCAACAGGAGGGGCTGGATGATGGCAATTTAGTCCCTTTTTAATACCAAGTGACTGCTTGCCTTTAGTATTTGTTATTGAGTGTTTACCATGCACCCCTTGATGCTAGTTGCTGGAGGTAGAGGTAACTCACCTTGATTTCTGTCCTTAATAAGTTGATAGCCTAATGGGAAGACTTTGTACATAGGCACATATATAAAAATAAAACAACTGTGGTCTGATACATCTGTATTTTATGCCACCCAAGGCCCTTAATACCTATGTGATCTGAGCTTTCTTAACCTTCGAAGTGTCTTAGCTTCTTTACCTGTAAAATATAGTGGTACTTACTTCATAGCCTCATTATGAGGATTAAATGAGATAATTTATGTAAAACACCTGTGTGTCTAGCACCTAGTAGGCACTTAATTAGCTATTATCGATGCTATTATTCCTGCGGTATCCATCATTAGGGAAATTAATGTTACAGGTATTCTAAGGGATGTGTGCATAAGGCAGAGTGGGGACCCAGGAATGAGAGTATACTTTCTGCCTATGGAGAGGGTTGAAGTGAATGAGTATTTATTAGGCAGAAAAGGCAAGGATTGTAAGGAGAGACATCCTGGAATATTCAGAAAACTGAAGTGTGATGGAATAATGCAGTATGACTTGAGTGTTTGTAGGAAACGCATTTACTGAGGTTAAAAAGTTAAATAGGGTCATTTTATCATGTTGGCATGTGTTGGGTTGGCCAAAAAAGTCCATTTAGTTGTTTTCCATAAAATAAAAGACACATTTTTCATGTTCAATAGCTTTATTGATTGGGATATTTTGAGTGTGTTGGCTATCTCCCATGTGGCGTAATGTTGATTGTTCTCAATTAATATCTCGCTTTGATCGCTGTCAGCTTTAACTGGTCTACCTGGCCATGGAGCATTGTCCATAGAGAAATCTCCAGTACGAAACTTCGCAAAGAGTGGTTTCACTTTTGGCACATTAGGTCAGTCACAGCACCTTCTCCATACATTGCACAAATCTCTTTCTGTGTTTCAGTGCGTTTTTACCTTTCTTGAAATAATAAGGCATAATATGCTAAAAATGTTGCATATTTTTCCATCTTCAATATTAAAATAGCTACACAATAATTCACCAATTTTGATAAGGTTTTTTTAATGCATGCTTACATGACAGCTGTCACAATACAATCTGACAAAATTGTTTCAAATGAAGTTGAAAACAACTAAGCAGGACTAGAGCCATCTTAAGAAAAAAACCAAATGAACTTTTTGGCTAACCCAATATTTTATGCTAAAGTTATGCTTACATTGGAAAGTCATGGAAGTTTTGTGGAGAAACATAGTCACTTCGTATTT